CATTTTTAAATTCTACACAAAATTCTAGATATATTTTGTGTATAATGTCCTATACCTAAATCTAAACGTTTTTGACATTTTTAATTTCTTAATTCGAAATCATTTTTTTAATTTTTCTTTTATTTATACTCGAAAAATAATATTAAAAATGAAATTAATGGAAAGTAGTCAGTTTGGTAATCTTGACATATTTAGCATTATGCATTATTATGGCAATTTTATATATATATATATATATATATATATATATATATATATATATATATATATATATATATATATATATATATATATATATATATATATATATATATATATATATATATATATATATATATATATATATATATGCCCAATGTTGTTACTTTTTGAAATATTTCCTTTTAAACATTCATCTATCACAAACAATATGCTGCAAATTATATACGTTCAGTTAGCGTAAGGTGGCTATGACGGCGTTTAAACAGAACAAATGCTAGAAGGCTGCTTGCGTATTATGTTTAGTACAGAGGAAAAGATTGATATGTTAAAAAGTTATATATCGAACAATAAATACCGGACCCTGGCTCTTAGAGATTCTATAATAAAATTTCCATTAAGGAGCCGCCTAGAAAAGAAGATTTTCGATAGGATTTACCAACACATTAGAATATATGGAACCTCGAATAAAGACAAAATTAAACGCCGTCAAATGATGAAGAGCAACTTAATATTTTGTTGCATTTTGCAGAGACCCCTAAAGATTCAACACGAAATAGATGATAAAAGAACAACGCTTCCAACGTTCCTCCGAATAAACAACTGGAACAACACACTAGATTTTTGCAACAAGCTTATGGATGGACGCTTTTTGGAAAATATATTTGCTAATATTAAACATTAAATTAAAATAAAACATATGGAAGTTACAATATCAGGTAGAACTTGTGTAAAAGTATGTTGTGCTGTGGAGGTTCAGAATAATAGCCCAGTATTTTTTTGTTACAATTTAAATTCCCAACGTTACTTAGAGCTTTTAAATATTATCCATCCCTTTTTTGAAAATGCAGTGAATGAAAGGGAACAACGAACTTTAATATGGCAGCAAGATATCGCTCCTTATCACAAAGTTCAAGAAATTAGCACCTATTTAAATGCACACTATAGAGAATGGCTTGGGGGGAATGGTAGTTATGACTGCCCTCCAAAGAGCCCCGACTTAACTCCCCTAGATTTTTTTCTATGGAGTACTGCCGAGGAACTTAAACGTCGGATAAAAGCAGGTATCGGATATTTACATGGGAGTGAATCTGTTAGAAATGCCATTATATATTGAGAAACCATTTATAACGGGTGTTTTTTCTCGATGTATAGAACTTTAAGTTGGCATTACTGTTCAAGATGGCCACCGATTTAATAGCTGTCAAGTAATTCATTCTCAGTTTGGTTTGGCAATTCATCATGAATAGACTCAAGCGTGAACAGCGCTTGCAAATAGTGCAATTTTATTTCGAAAATAATGGTTCTGTGCGGAATACGTATCGCGCACTACGTCCATTTTATCGTCGACAAAATCGTCCATCAAAGCAGTTAATTCGATTAACCATGGAACGTTTGCTCACCACGTTTACTCTTATTGATAACTCGCATCCTCAGATACGCTGTACGGTGCATACAGAAGAAGCTATTGCTGCTGTAGAGCGTAGCATTGAGGAAGACCCTAATAAGTCCATCCGCCATCGAGCATCGGAATTGGATCTGTGTCCATCCACTTTATGGAAGATTTTGCGGAAGGATCTTGGTTTACGTGCTTACAAAATCCAACTCGTGCAAAAATTGAAGCCAAACGATCATCAAGTAAGGCGTAGATTCGTCGAATGAGCCCAAAACGAGATTGCCGTTGTTCTCGATTTTTATAAGCGAATTTTGTTTAGCAATGAAGCGCACTTCTGGTTGAATGGCTACGTCAACAAACAAAACTGCCGCATTTGGAACGAAGCTAATTCTCAAGTGTATGCCGAAACACCGTTTCATCCCGAAAAACTGACTGTTTGGTGCGCTTTATGGGCTGGTGGAATCATTGGCCCGTACTTCTTAAAAAACGATGATGGCCAGAACGTTACAGTCAATGGTGATCGGTATAGAGCTATGATTACTAACTCTTTCATTCCTGAATTGAATAACCATGATGTCCAGGAGATGTGGTTTCAACAAAACGGCGCAACATGTCACACAGCTCGTGCCATAATCGATTTATTGAAAGACACGTTTGGTGACTGCCTAATTTCACGTTTTGGACCTGTGAATTGGCCTCCAAGATCTTGTGATTTAACACCGCTAGACTACTTTCTGTGGGGCTATGTAAAATCATTGGTCTATGCGGATAAGCCACAAACGCTTGACCATTTGGAAGACAACATTCGAAGTGTTATTGCAGATATACTGCCACAAATGTTGGAAAAAGTCATCGAAAATTGGACGTCCAGATTGGACTATATCCGCGCCAGCCGTGGCGGTCATATGCCAGAAATCATATTTAAAATGTAATGCCACAAGATTATCTTTCGGATAAATAAAATTTATGTTAATCGAATAATCCATCGTTGTTTTATTGCAACTTAAAGTTCTATACATCGAAAAAAACACCCTTTACCACCTGTATTGCTCAATTTTTTTTTCGTTGTTTGTTACCAAAATATTCACCAACACAAAATTGCCTTACTTTTTAATGCTACACATTTCAAGATTACAAAAATGAGTAGTTTTCATTAATTTCATTTTTAATCTTATTTTTCGAGTATCTTGTATTATTATGTATCGAAATTTCTTATGAAATCCTTTATTCGAGTCCTTTGTCTACAAGGAAACTTAGTCAAGTGAAAAAGTAAATGCTTCGGAATGAAGAAATTGGCACATATTATGCGCATTGCAAACGTCATTTTCCACATAAAAAATTAAAAATGTTAAAAACGGTTAGACTTATGTATAGAACATCATGCACGAAATATGTCTAGAATTTGTAGAGAATTCAAAAATGCAGTAATATAACAGATGTTCCATTTAAAGTAAGAAAGTTGATATTCGCCCACGAACAATGAAACACCCTGTTTAAAGAGAATTGAAATAAATTAAAGGTTCGTAATACCTCAACTAACCTTTGTATTTAACTTTTTGCTTCATCCCCTATAGTAGTGTAAGGTAGTGTAACAAGATAAACGGATCACCCTATACATTTAATATTGTAAACGCAGCAGGGAGCATATTCTAGGATATTAGATCATCAAATGTAAAATCGCACAACATTTTATAAAACTGCATCGTCTACAAGTTATACTGAAATTCTACATTCAGTACGTAATTATACATTTTTCATAGCAAATTTTTGTAATGTAAATTGAAGTCTGTAATTGTAAAGTGTAAACTAAGTTTTATGATAATACAATTATACCACTAACTCAATCTTAAGTATGTTTTAGTGAGTACTAATGTGTAGTTTGTTATGTAAAGATATAAAATATTACAGAAGTGTTATAAAACACCTTTCTAACTTATTTTTATTTTATTTTTTTTCGGCAAGGAATCACGCCCGACAAGTTTTTCGCATTTGTTTCAAAACACCCTGTATATGTAGAATACCTTCCGTACATATTTTGTTAAAAGAAGTAGTTTAGCGAAAAACAAACAGAAATTTCGTGATCACTTATGCTTGTGGCCATAGCGTTTTCTTATTTAGACAAGTATCTTGAGTTAATAGGTTTGTGAGCTCTTTTGATATATTTCATTTTCTTCTAAATATATCTAAATGAACTTTGCTGCAAAAAAAAGTAAAACTAGATGTTATAAATATACACTAAACAAATTCTTCCATAAATACTGCAAACTTTGAGTGGGAAAATAATGTAAAATTACTCTTACTAAACAAAAAAAAATAACCATAACTAACCAAGTCGAGAAAGCAATGGAAACTAGTAATTTAAATGATGCTAAGGAATACAACTAAATGAATCTAAAACTGAAGAAGCAACTAAACAGCTGCAACCTCAATAATGTAAAACACTGATAACCAGAAAATGATATGTATTAGGGGATTTTTAATTTCGATTTATATTATTGTTGTTAATTATAGTAAATTAGTGATTTAGGTGAAGACGAATGACAGGAAAAGCAATCACTGACGAAAATGCTGAGGAATACAACTAAGAGGATCTAAAACTTAAGAAGCAACTTAACAATATGATTTCAAGCAGCAACCTCAATCAAGTAAAACACTGATAAACAGAAAATGACATGTTTTAGGGGATTTTTAATTTCGATTTATATTATTGTTGTTAATTATAGTAAATTAGTGATTTAGGTGAAGACGAATGACAGGAAAAGGAATCACTGACGAAAATGCTGAGGAGTACAACTAAGCGGATCTAAAACTTAAGAAGCAACTAAACAATATGATTTCAAGCAGCAACCTCGATCATGTAAAACACTGATAACCAGAAAATGACATGTATTAGGGGATTTTTACTTTCGATTTATGTTATTATTGTTAATTATAGTAAATTAGTGATTTAGGTGAAGACCAATGAGAGGAAAATCAATCACTGACGAAAAGGGCTGAGGAATACAACTAAGTTAATCTAAAACTTAAAAAGCAACTAAACAATATGATTTTAAGCTGCAACCTCAATAATGTAAAACACTGATATCTAGAAAATGACATGTATTAGGGGATTTTTACTTTCGATTTATATTATTGTTGTTAATTATAGCAAATTAGTGATTTAGGTGAAGATACGTTGTTGTTTTGATGCCTATAAAAGTTAAAGATGTTGCAAAAACTTTAAATTGTTTCACTCGTAGAAAAAATATTGCAACGCATGCAACTGTATAACTTAAAATTGAGTAAGGAATAAGAAAACTGCTATTTTTTTCGTTTTTCAACGATTTGTTCTTAACAGTAACGAAAGAGAGACTTAAAAAACTTTATTTTTATAAATGGGTTTATAATCTTCGCACTCGAACGTTACCTTCGTTAATTACGTACGTGTTAAATAGGGCCCGTCTTACTCCGCTGTTATTCCAATTTGTAAGTTAAACGTTGACCGAAAAATATTTCATTCTTGAGTTAATTACAACCAGAAGTTAACACATTGTAATTATGCAGTCTGTGCGCACATGAAACGAGAAACTGGTTATAAAACATCTCATAGTGTCGCATCAACGCGGTTTCGGCTACGACGGCTATGAGAAATTATGGTCAATTAAGCTCTGAAGATGACTGGGATAATTTTTCACTTGAAATTAACAAGACGTAAACGAATTTTCATGATAGGGTACGGTGTCGCGCTTATTTTACTGTCCATACTACTTTCTATTCTATTGTAAAGTCGATTCTTTCGCCAAGTGCCTTCATTATTGGTTATTTGAAAGTATTTTCCAATACTTAGACTGTCATTGCACTTTATGAGAGTTATAGACCAGCACACGATAAATGGTCAGTTATTATATGTTTAGACCACGGTTCGAAGAAAATTTCGAAGACGGAATGGAGGAGTGTAACGAACTAAAAAGAAAGTGTCATTTTAATATGTGGTGCAAGAATATATGAATGTAAAATTAGGGTAATACTGATATTTTTGTCTTTATTTTTTTTAAAGCAAAATTTTTCAGCAGATCTTCTAAAAAGTCAGAGGGCGTGGAAGCTGGTACAAGGAGGAGATAACTGATATTTCCAGGCTAACCGTCCTTGATAATGATTCACTGGAATGGAAAGAACGATGTTAACAAAAGCATACTGAAATGGTCAACTGACTGGCAGTAGAAACTAACCAGAGACCTCAATAGTAGTGCAGTTTAGCTTTCAATAGCTCCTCTACTGAACCACTATATAAAACTCTAATTGTAGTTGTTAAATTCGCTTCTATTGGTACATATATAGACATAAATTTATACTAATTTATTAGTGAAGCCATGGAAAATACATGTAAAATCAGAAGAGAAAAAAACCAACAAAGAACACGTAAAACAGTATGTCCAACCTGTGCAGCCAAATTACCGTATTCATACCGTAAATAAATATCATTTTCTAAAAAATATTCCCGGATTTCAGTTTTTGAACTTCCATTCGCTGAAAATCACCACGTTTATTCCTTTACTTGAATTCTTCACTATTAATAATATACCTTATCGATGATACACATGTTTCTTTTAAAGTGTCTTGTTTAATAAGCACCTACTGATTAAAGTTTCATTCAAATATTTCACAACTTGTTTTGCATCAAGCTATAAATGATATCGATGCGACATTGTTATATTCTCCTAAATTAACTTTTTTGAAACGCACAGTAAAAGACGATTGTTTAACACTGCCACAAATGATCAACAATTAAGAAATAGATCAGAAAGAAAGAAATATACTTGGCCCACCCCTGCCTTGTCACTCAATAACAATAGGTAATAATGTCGTTAAAGTTTAATTGGAGATGGTTACTCGAAAACCAACACTATGAAGATTGAGGCAGACTATACTTCTAGGAATAAGTCGCTCGCTGATCAAAGTCGCTGAATCTAATTATCTAAAATTTTCATGACGAATATCTTGAAATGTAGAGCTCTTCCTTGTTCCATTTTGACGATGTGCAGCATGCTCATATTTTCGGATGCACATAATAGGTAAAACGTGCACAAGTATTCTGCACCCTGTGAATATGACTTTTAAACTTACCTTAGATCACACCACACTTGTTGAAATGTGAGAAACCAAGTCAGTGACATAAGTTTCCTTATATTCAAATTTAAAATATGCTGTTACTGTAAAAAAATATTGTCACCTTTTGAAGGTTAAATAAATGGCCACGAAATCGTCACTATCTATGAATACTCCCAAATTCGTTGCTGAATCAATATTGTTTCTGGAGCTTAACTTTATGTTTATTTCCAAATATCATTATTATAATGGATTTGCATCTGCATCGACGGTATAATCAAAGCAACAAGCAAATACCCGAGCCTTGCAAAAATTTAAAGATTTTAAAATGTCGGAAGTGAGAATCAAAAACAATATCGGACCCAAAATCGAACCCTGCGGTATCCCAGACAAAATTTGTATTTTCTTGGAACATCTGCTTTTTGATATCGATTCGAAAAGAAACATTTAATCAGTTTACACGAATTAGATGAAAAACCATAGAAATTTAGCACCAGTGCACATAGCGTACAACACTCATTACGGCCGGCAAAAATGGACGCGCGGGTATAATGTGCGCGTACATTTTTTACCGTTACGGTATTACGAAAATTAAATTTTCCGCGTTACGTTCGGGTAAATTGGTCAAAAATTGCCCATTTTGTAGATAAAATGCTTGTACGTCGTTTCGTAAGCGATTTGCCACACGTTCGCACGCTAACCGCACTGATTTTGTTGTTCATCTTTTATCCAGCACAACGTAAATGAAAAAGTTAGCACTTTTAATTAAAATATACTGCAGTCAATGATTGAACACGCTCCGATTAAACGAAGCCAAGTATATGAAAAGGCGTAGGTAACTCCAAGACACTTCAGATATATCAAAAAAATAAAATACAGGGCAATTACCGATATTGCAAAAAACTAAGATACTAAACAGAGCATTATTTTAGCTAATTAGCGTGAAAAAGCAGAAAATAACTTTGGCAAAACGCAAAACACTTTGAATTACTTGGCAAACCAAACAGCATGGACTCTCTTCCAGATGTTCTTTTAGACACTACGCAATAATCAGGGTTTCGTAAAAACTGTATTCCCATAAACGGCTTTTCCAAAATTGTTGATGACATATATTCGACTGGTGATAAAGGTCAAAACACACTTCTTTCACTATTAGACACCATAAATTACAACTTACGAGTGGTTACGATGAGTTATGTCACAATTATTCGGAAATAGAGCGTGCGATTGCATTTTCTGACCTACCCTTCATCAAATATGGGCATTAGGTAGTGCCTATCTCTGCACAAGTTAATAGAAGCCATCAATAAATGTTAAATAACAATATGTATTTCAAAATGGTAGTAGGTATTTGACTTTTCGTAGCACTTTTTGAGCTCCTAAATAAATAAATTTGACGTTTATTTACTGGTTACTCCTAGTAAAGTGTAAAAGGAGGCAAATTTCAATTTTGTAGCTCCAACGGTTCGAAAGTTATTCAGTAAAAACCCCTGCCTTGTCACTCAATAACAATAGGTAATAATGTCGTTAAAGTTTAATTGGAGATGGTTACTCGAAAACCAACACTATGAAGATTGAGGCAGACTATACTTCTAGGAATAAGTCGCTCGCTGATCAAAGTCGCTGAATCTAATTATCTAAAATTTTCATGACGAATATCTTGAAATGTAGAGCTCTTCCTTGTTCCATTTTGACGATGTGCAGCATGCTCATATTTTCGGATGCACATAATAGGTAAAACGTGCACAAGTATTCTGCACCCTGTGAATATGACTTTTAAACTTACCTTAGATCACACCACACTTGTTGAAATGTGAGAAACCAAGTCAGTGACATAAGTTTCCTTATATTCAAATTTAAAATATGCTGTTACTGTAAAAAAATATTGTCACCTTTTGAAGGTTAAATAAATGGCCACGAAATCGTCACTATCTATGAATACTCCCAAATTCGTTGCTGAATCAATATTGTTTCTGGAGCTTAACTTTATGTTTATTTCCAAATATCATTATTATAATGGATTTGCATCTGCATCGACGGTATAATCAAAGCAACAAGCAAATACCCGAGCCTTGCAAAAATTTAAAGATTTTAAAATGTCGGAAGTGAGAATCAAAAACAATATCGGACCCAAAATCGAACTCTGCGGTATCCCAGACAAAATTTGTATTTTCTTGGAACATCTGCTTTTTGATATCGATTCGAAAAGAAACATTTAATCAGTTTACACGAATTAGATGAAAAACCATAGAAATTTAGCTTGGAGATCAAATACATATGATCGTATCGTGGCTTCGAAAAATTCAAAACTATTAGGGCACTGATTAGTTTCTTTCATTTAAAACCATATTGACTTCTGCTAACAGTTATATTATTTGATTCGATTATAGAGAGCCAAATCCGATTTAGGTTTAAAAATATTGACAAACGCAGTTGTAAATTAAGGGTGGCAAATTCTTGATCCATTTTACACTGCGAGTGGAGGAAAAGTTGGGTGCCACGCGCAACTTAGTATATAACAAGTGAAAATTGGGTAAATAATTCTTTTCTTCAAAATATCCCACAGTAGCCGTAATAGTTTAAGATATAAGCAGCAAAAAAGAAGTATTGCAAGAGTTCTTTAATCTGCTTGCTTTCATTTTGAAGCTACTTACACAAAAAACTACTAGTTGAAGTCGTAAGAACTTAACACATTTAACACAACAATAGTTACAACATATTTCCAATGTACCAACTATATCAGCGCAACCCTATTTATAGATTAATAAGCGAGATACTTAATTTCCTCTTATAGTTTGCCAAAATACAAACGGAGGTAGGAGTGAAGAGCGTTACAAATTATTTAAAGACATAATAATCATTATTCAATAAATATTTTAGATACTCAAGAAGGAAATAACGAAAATCTTAAAATACTTGTAATAGTTCAAAACCCAGGAGATACAACAAAGAAAAGAAAAAAATCTTCTTGACACACATAATAATAAAGATTCAGACGACTACGATCAAAGAAGTTCAGGTAAAATTATTCAGAAAAAATCAGTAAAAATAAATATCCAACAGGCTGCTGAGAACGAATTAGGACTTGACCCTTGATTAATAATTCCCCATAAATAAACAATACTTATTTCGGTATACTTTAGATTATCTCACAAAGAAAGGAAATCTAAGAAAAAGAAGCAATTGGAAAAAATGGAAGAAGAAAAATAAAAGCACGGACTTACAGCACCAAAAAATTTTAATTAATATCTCGAAAGTGGTGGTCAAGGGGATAGCGGAACCATATACGGGGTGTCCAATTTATAAAATTAAAATTTTTGGTTCTTTTGGACAGAAGCGGCGACGGTGGGAAACTGACATCCGGCGTTTCATCTGGAAAAAGTTGATAATACCTTGAAAGGTACTGATTGACGCGGGATCATTTACCCAACCTCAAAGTTAGTTCCCGATCGTATTTCGAAACACCGTACAGAAGTTATTCGCGGCCGCCGCCGCCGCGGAAGTTTATAAAGTACGAGCAA